TGAGGGTTAAGTCTGGAACAAAATACATACAACATTGTACAGAGAGAATAAAATGAAAAAAAAAAATCATCTTATAAATGAGGTGAATTGGAAATTTTCTAAGAGCACAATCTTTGTATTTTTTTTTAATTTCAACCTCAAAACCAGCCAAAGAGAAAGGAAGATGACATTGTTTTTCCTCTCTGATGACTGGGATGGGAGTGGGTGGGGGAACACTTTCCCTAACCTCCTTCCTAATAATTTCCAGGCTGCTGCAAGGGAAAAAAGTGATAAACAGACTCTGCTACGGTGCAATTCTATTTTCAGTCCAGTCTGACCCCCAGTGATCACCAGGACTTATCTCAGTGATTACAGCCACTAACAGGATTCTTACCATTTCTCTCCAGAAGCAGCCTAGAGCCAGAGGCCAGAAAGAATGGTTTCACTGAGCTATGACAGAAACAAGGCTGTGCTGCCACCTAACAGGGCACCTACTGAACTTCCAGTAAAGTTGCTTAACAAAACACTCAAAGAGACAGATTTAACAGCAATTTGCTACAAGTGCTGAACCAGACCTGTAAGGCCAAACCTAACATCACAAACTCCAATTATTTTGTTTCACATATGAATTCCAGCAATGTCTTCAGTTTGGGTTAGGTAAACATGAAAAGGAGTAACCAGCCTCTTCACAGTCAAGCAGTACATTTAGCATATACAGATAAAAAAGGCCTTCTTCTAAAATTCAAAATGTTGTTTTTAATCATTCAAAAGTGCATAAAGATCCTGTGCATTTGCCTTTTAAATCCCTGAGAGCCTGATTCTATGTTTAAAATTGAACCGATAGTATGGGATTTCAATTAAATCACATTTTTGCTTTTTGCAGACAAGTTATTCAATCAAGCTGAAACACAAGCTCAAAGTTACTCAGCACCTGATTACATAACAATAGATATTACAATTGATTAATCACAGCCACAAGTTTTCATCTTAATGTCAACCACTTTAAACAGGGCAAAGGCATTTAGTTGTATTACTAAATAAGAGCAATACAGGGAAACACCAAAAACCCTTATCAGTCATGTATTTAATGTGCAATTACCTGGGCTCCACACTGAGGAAGTTGGGGAGCTTCACGAAATATAAATCATTACCCAAGTCTGTGTTCACTTTTGGTATTTCTACCTCTATTCTGGTCTCTGGAATAGGCTCTTCTTCCTGCTGTTCTTGACTCAGTCCATTCTCATCCTAATGAAAAAATGGAGGATAGGAGCATAAATGAAAAGAAGTCTATCTGGCTACTGCTGCTCTAATAAGTACATTTTCCTTAAAGAAATGTCATCCACATGCACAGAGAGAGATGGGGTAAAAAAAAAGAAGTCACACATTTTCATTGAAAGCAATTCAATTCAGCATTTTCATGTGCCACTTAAAGTGACTTCAAATACCACTGCAAACTCCAGAGATGACAGGCAGTAGAGAACAGCACAGAAGCTGATCTACAGTTTTCAGTTAAGTACCAGACACTAAATTGGCAACAACTCCCAGATTAAAAAGGATATTTTTCTGTATTATCAACAAGAAATAAAAATTTATCATAAAAATAAAAAATATTTCTGAAATAGCTGTAATAAGGTACCAAAGACAGCTATGGCTTTGTATGTTATTTTATGTCAATCAAAACTATTCAAAAAGCAGAACAGGGATGGGGGAAGGCAGACAAATGAATATGATAGTTATGTATAAAACTTTAATAATTCTTTCAGCTGGGGCAAAATTATCTGTAATGCTTACTTCATGTCATTATTCTTTTTCACTCAAATATTATTAAACTAAATGGGTGTTCTGCATTTCAGAGTGGAATGGTGTGTCCATTATCTCAAAAGTCAAGTCTACTCACAATGGGTTGTCCTGGGGTCGGTGGTTTGTCTTCTCCATCACTCCCTGAGGAAATGTCATCTGCACCTCCAAACAGATCCATGACATCTGCATGCTCTTGAGCAGAAAAAGTGCTATTTTAAAACACACATATATGTGCACACACAGCCCTAATGCAAGAACACTCACAGAAAAAAAAAAGGTTAACAAATTCCTCACTCTTATTAACACTTAAAATCACCTACAGAGGTTAAAAATTTCAGATGTTTATGAAGCCCACATTATTCCCTTATCCTGAAAAACAGTTTTTCCATGTATTTTTAAGCTAAGGATTCAAGGTATGTTTTCCTGGGAAGGTTTTATCAAATAAGGGAATCTAGTTGAAAAATGGTAATGGAAGAATGTAAAATAATCCTTATTCAAGTAACTTGAATATAAGTAACAGCAACTTCATTACACATTTTGGAAGTTTTACTTCTCAGAAAATCAACACTTCTTTCTCAGCCAGCTAACCCATCACAAAAACCAGTACACGTTCCCTGGGCTGCTCTGATTAAAGGAACCATTTCCTAACATCTTTCAATAAAAACATATGAAAGAACATTGACAGAAAAAAAGTTGATGGAGGAAGCTGAAAAGTTGACAGAACTAAGCAGAGAGAATCAGAAGCACAGCATGTATCCCCCCCCACAGAATTACTGCTGTTTCATTATTTCCATGCCACTACAGTCACATGTGCAGCAAGTGCTACCAATTCTATCCTGGAGCAGATGAATGGCACCTCAAGATGATGATTAAAGGAATCAAACCCCCACAGAACAACACCACTATTTACCTTTCTGCCCTTCTGTATCACTCTCCACTTCTGAATCTGATGCAATTGGTTTCTTTCGCTTCATTCGCAGAACCTCATCTTCGCTGTCGCTGCCCCTTGCAGACTCTACCAAGGAGCACAATTATACTCAGCAAATTAAAAACTTTGCTCCACAAATTTTAAAATGCCTTTGTATTAATAAACTGATTCAGATTAAAAGGAATTTTAAAAGTGCTGCATAAAAAAAGCATTACAAAGATGACTACAGTCGAAAGCTACACAATTAATGCCTTTACACTGAAGTCTGAATCTTTTCAGGTCAACGTAAACAAAACAATAGAGACCAAACCAGCAGCAAATCATTACTTCTGTACTCAGTCCTACCGGATTTGTGCTCTTGCTCCTCCTCATCAGAGTGCTGGGCCCTTTCCTCATCATCAGAGTTCTGCATCTTCTCCTCATCAGAACGCTGGGCCCTTTCATCATCATCTGAGTTCTGCATCTTCTCCTCATCTGAGGCCTGTGGCCTCTCCTCATCATCCGAGTTCTGCATTTTCTCCTCATCCGAGTTCTGGAGTCTTTCCTCATCATCAGACACCTGTGGCCTTTCATCCTCATCTGAGTTCTGCGCTTTCTCCTCATCGTCGGAGTTCTGCTGTCTCTCCTCATCATCAGAGTTCTGCTGCCTCTCCTCATCATCCGACTGATCACTTTTGTCCTCCTTGCCCCACTTCTCGTCCTCTGAATGTGCTTTTTCAGAACCATCTCCCTCTGAGTGGTGACTGCCTTCATCTGAGCCGTGATCACGATCATCCTCGTCGTCGTCATGAGCAGCTTCTGAGGCGCTGTGCTGGTCCCCGTCCGACTGCTCGTTGTCCTCGTGCTCGGAGTGCCCCGAGGCCTCAGAGCGATTGTAGGACCTTTCAGAGTGGTTGTCGCTCCCTGAGTGATGGGATGCTCCTTCATCCTCGCTGTCATCTCCAAATAGCTCCTTATTACTGGGTTTTACTGCCTCCCTGTCATCGTCCTGGTCACTGTCGCTTCCAGAGGCGTTGCTACCAGAACCAGCGTTTTCCTGGTCGGAATCCGAATCAGATCCAGAATCAGAATCTGCAAAACAAACATCACCCTTTCAAAAGTCAAGATGTCCCTACAGGATGCACATAAGATGATGGGCATTGCTTAACACTAAACCCCCCCTCAAAACCAACCCAAACCCCAGAGAGAGAACCTACAGAGAACTGTAAGAAGGACTGACAAAAGTTACAGTAAAATAGAATGTCTGCTAATAAAGGCACAGCCGAAGAAAGACACAATAAAAAATTATGCCACATGAAGTTTCACGCCACAAGATCTAAGACTCTAAAATTGTAGAAGGAATAAGGAATTACACAAAGGTAAATAAGATTATTAAAATACCGAAGGCCTAAACAAGTAACTACATGTACGTGGCTTACAATATCCTACAAATTCAAAAGTCACCATGTGTTTAACCTAAATCATGTAGCCGGGCACGTTTGTGCCATTGGAGCTACTCGTCAATGCTGAAGATGGTGAACGCCGTTTCGAGCAGGAAAATAAAAGAACATCTGCCTCGAAAAGCGATTTACAAGAATGGAGACAAGTTCTTTGAAAACACGCTAAGGACTGAAGCCGGGAGGTGCTCCCTCATTCCCTCCCCTGCAGGCACAGACCCCTCGGCCCGCGGCTCCGCTCCTCCCGCGGGCCGCTCCCTCCCTCCTGCCCGAGCCCAGGTGATGCGAGAGGGGCGATACGGGGCGGGCGGGCGGCGCGGCCCGCCCGTGCGGGATGGAGGGATGACAGGGAGGCGACAAACCCGCACCTTTGTGCTCGGGCTCCGAGTCCGCGTCGCTGCCGAACAGATCCGCCATGTCGGCCATGGCGGCAGCGCGGCCCCGCCGGCGCGCGCGGACACGTCACGGCGAGCGCCGCGAGCGCGGCCCCGCCCCAGGGCTGAGGCGCCGCCTCTTAAAGGGGCCGTGTCCGTGTGGGCTCCGGCGCCTGAGGGAGGCGAGAACTCCCCCGGGGTCACAGAAAGGGATCGTGTTTGCCCGTCTGCACCTCCGCTCTGCACCGCCCGCTGCGGCTGAAACACAGCTGCACAAAGCAGCCTCACGCCCCGCCACAGCCCTCAGGGCCCACTTGTTCGGAGTGAAATCCCGCTCCACAGCACCAGCCCTTCATTCCACCACCGTCACTCCACTCACTTTCCTCCTGGAGAAGGAAAGGTGTTGCTTTGACACAACATAAACACATGGGTCAGTTTTAAGCAAGTCAGTGTACTATTTAAATAAGCAAACAAACAAACCCCCAAAACCACAACAAGAATACAGTACTTTAATCATCCACAGCGTTTACTGGTTTACAATCTGACAGCATATAGTGCTGATAGGCTAAAAAACTCAATGCATGTTTCCTCAATGGAAATTTAAATTGAACACTTGCTTGTTTGTAGCTTACAAACACAAGATTACTCAAGCTGTAGAGAGAATGAGGCTATTTCTTTAAAATACAACAGTAATAGATAATTGCTTTGAATTATAGGCTATGTTTCCATGCTTAGCTGGGAACCAACAGAATCAATATATGCAGTCATTTGACTTCTTCATTAAGGCTGAAAAACAATCCATATGAAAAAATATCATCTCTTAGAAAAAAGACCTTGTGTCTCTGGTAAGTGGTTATCAAAGCTATACCACTCTTTCACTCAGAATCAATGAAGTCATACACAGGATCTCACCACACCTGACAGCACGACATCAGAGCATCCACTCGGTTTGTTGAGACTGTGTATGATTCCTGGCTACAGACTGAATTCCCTCATTTATTCCAAACAGGATACACACTGCAGGCACAAAAGTGGTTGTTGTTAATTGTTCCATGCACCATGCCAAAACAACAAAGTTTTCTATGCCCAGTCTGTCAGATACCTGTCCTTAAAGTGCTGACAAAGTCAAATTCTTACCTGCTGTCTACAGAGCTAAACCAATTATTAAGGTCCACTACTATCACCGGTGACAGGACACCTGAGAGCTGCAGCTTAAAAGCCCCTGCCTTTGATTAGGATGTAAATAATTAAACAGCTAAACTTGATTTAACAAAAGGAAGGAAGGGATTTGGGCTATCATTTCCATAATCCAGCCTTTCAATTTTGTCCTTAATTTTCAAGTAGGAGATAACTGTCTAATCTTGTTAGATAATGATAAAATAAGTCATCATAGAATCACAATACGTGAACAGATTCTCTGAATATGGCAGCCCTTCAACAAATGAAGGAAGACATCACAGCCTGTTTTTTGACACAAAATCATTATGGTGCCTAGCAAATAAAAAGTAAAGTACAGCTTTAGGCAACTCAGCACATGACATGCTTTGGCCATCTTTATACAGCACTATCTGTAAAAAAAGACACTTAAATGTGACTTTATGCACACTGTATAGGAGCTTATCAAAATCTATAAAGTTCTTGGAAATTTATGAAAGCGAAAACCAAAGGAAGCCCTTTTTGTTACTCATCAGATCACTCCTAGTTTTTTCAAGGTTATAGTAAGTATAGTCTTTGGTTTTAACAGAATTAATTCCAAGTTGTTTTGAAGAGCACATATTTATTTGTAATTCTAATAAAAGGCTGATTTTGAAATAGGAAAAAAAAAGTTCTTCCACATGTATAAACCAGTTATATACATCCTCATTGAAGGCACTATAGTTTAATATTCACTGTTGCAGTAAAATTCGAAGTCACCTCTGGAATAAAGTCTGTCTTTAAAGATCCAAAACAAGATTTGCAGCAAATTACAATGTGGGCACAGTGTCAGAGACTTGCTCTGTTTGGTTCTTATAGTATATACAAACTGATGCAAACATCTCAGTCCCCTCCATGTAAATATGTTTTCTATACATAAAAGCTCACCACATTAAGATCTCTGAATGAAAAGAGTTGTCAGTTGAATTCTCTGTTGTTATAAATATAGCCAAGCAGTCCTTTAGAACATTTTTGTGACCTCAAAGCAAACTAGTACAGGATAGTCCAAGCAGACCTAACCAAAAAGCCTCTAGGTTTTTATATTATTTCAAAGAAGTGTATTGTGGTTATGTGCAGAAGTTGAAGTGATTCTTGTTGCCTTATTAGTTTGCTTAAACAACTTTAAATACTTTAATAATTACTACATCATACAGATCTGACACTACAGATTGATTAATTTTTGCATGTCTTAGGTAGTGTTCCAACATCGAGACATAAGTAAAATAGAAAAATCCTTTCTCAAAAGTGTTACTTCAGTATTAAAAAATGATAGATGTATATGAAGTACAAATAGCTTAATACAACAACTTCAAATAAAGGATTTTTCATTTGCCAGCAATTTAAGTCAGTGGTTTTACACTTAAGGTTGCTCTTCCTGTACAGTTATGCAGAATTTAAAATATGCATGTCCACTACTTCTAGAGAAATTGATACTTGTGAACGTAGATAAAGATTTTTAAACAAAGAATATAAACTAAATAATGTTGATGAACACATGAAATCAGCCTAAAAATATATCCAGTTTAGATACAGAGCAAGACACACTTTTGAAAAAGACTTAAAGGATTTAGATGTAATAAAAAAACCCTGTCATTTTGCAAGGCTCCTAATTTTTTTTTTTTTGCAAGTCTTTTGTATGAGTCCCTCAAATCTCTTGGGAGAAGTCCTTAGCCCGTTTATTTTTGTTTGCCTTAAAGGGATGTCTTTAAACTTACTCACAGTATCAAGAACTAATAAAAAATAAAACAGTAGAATTACAAATAACATTGCTGTGAAAGATTTCTCTTCAGTGCATATGAACAAAGCTGAACAGCTCTACACAATGAGTCCAGCTGTTGGGAGAAGAATCCCTTATCACTAACCCATTGTTTTCAGGAATAGACACAGCCCTCCTCGTAAATAAGCACCCCCGGATTTTCTAACAAACATTTTAATTGGGTCATTATCTTCTTAATGACCTTAAATGTCCCATTCTTTGACTACAGACAATTATACCATTGATTTGCAATTATATTTTAAGTAGAAAGCTCAGCCGAAGTCTTGAAATACAAAAAAAGTTCTTTAAAAAAAAAAAAAACCAGTCAAAAACCATGGTACAGAGACTGGTGCAGTTACTGTGTCTCCATGAAAAACGTGATGCATACCAGCAGATTATATAGCTTTGCTTTAAAAGGAATGGGGTTTCCAGTCTTTTCCCTTCTAAGCCAGGTCAATGTAGTCCACGATTGCCAAAGCCCACGCTGCTGACCGTGATGACTCCACCGAGTTTTGACAGTAGGATTGCTAATTGTCTCCTTCAACCCTTCTCTTGCGAACTGCAACAAGAGAGACAAAAAAAAAAAGTGTTGCTATTTTATCATGGTAACTGTTTTTTGTATTTCTACAACGTGAACATTTATTTGCCACCTGAGGTTTCACACAGTACAACTTAAGGTAATGAACACTTAGAGTAATCCATCATTTTAAGCTTATGCTTCAGCAAGGCTTTTTGCCTTATTCACAAACAGTTGCAAACACTTGCAAGGAAAGACTTGTGGGAAACATTAATCATATTATGTCTGGTAAGCAGATTTAGCCAGCACTCTTTTTTTTCATTGCAGTTTTCTAGTGCTAAATTAAGTTTATATGGTTTCAAAGGAAACAATGCAAGAGTTTCACAGTATATCTAACACAATTTATACACACACAGAAGATATTACATTCAATAGCCTAAAACATTCCGTTTATTAATAAAACATTTAATTGTTAGAAAATGCAAGAGCAATAAAAATTTGTGAATAAAATCACTAAAAGCTCACATGCTATTTAGACTTGAGAATATGCAAGATTGACTGAATGACTGGAGTTTTCCTCAATATTTGTATTATTTTTGCTATTTTTTTTCACCCTATCAAATTATGTTTTCCTTTTCTGTGCAGACATAAACAAGGCTACGGGTCTTACAAATTATATAGGGCATCTCCATGTAATTCTGTTCTCAAAGCCACTCATTGGAAAGTAGGTGACAGAAGTTATTCACACCTGCTTTCATCAAATTGCAAGAACAGAGGAAAGAATTTCCAACCTTAGACTTCTCCAGTCACGCAGTTAAAAGCAACAGGTGCAGTTTCAGAAAAAGAACAGGGAAGTGGTACAACACAGTGTAAGCAAGAGAGAAAGAAGATGTAGATGCAGGCTATTTTTTTTGAAGAAACGTACAAAGACAGAGATGAGAGACTTGGAACATCTGAGTTTCAGTGCTGAATACCCAGCTGGGTATTCACAGTGACCTGTCTCTGTAGCTTCACGGCTGGAGAGATGAAAAGGTATTTGCAGAAACTTTTACTCACATACTCCAGACTAAGAAAGCAAAGAAAAAAAGGCAAGATATCAATAGAAAAATAGATTTACAACAGTCAAGCACTAACAAGAGAACTAGTGAGAAGAGAAACCTTAGAAAGTAAAAAGACACCTGAAGCATTATGACAAATAACTGGTTTAGAATCTATTTTGAGAAACAGTTATAGAGTGTCTGAGTGCCTTTCTTCTCTCTCTGTGCTCTTTTCTAGTTACTCCTCCTCCATATCTTTCAGAGCTGTTCTCAACTTTAACCTTTACTCAGAGGGGAAGCAGATCTTTAAACCAAATTCCAATTTCCTATGTCATTCCCTCTAATATATTCCTGAACTACTGCTACTGCTACTAAACTGCCTGGCCCATTTTCATGCTGATGAGACGTTTAATCTTTACCACAAAGCATCTAAAGACAGAAGATTTAATTAAATAGTTTTAAAATGCAATTCTATTTAAACAGATGGACCACATTATCTTGTAGTTGAGTGCTACAAGTATTTGACATTATACAAACGATTTCCATTCATGTGCTACATTATTAACTGATTTTCTGCTGATCCATTTAGTTAGGATTCTAACAGATGAGCTCCAACAAAACTGACTGCAGCAAATAAAGATGCCACAGCTACCAGCTAGAGAGGCAGGGATGGTACTTGTGCATGACCAGAAGAGGTGACCCAGTCCCAGCCTCTGCATGTGAGAGGATGTTTGGTTTCCTTGCTTAAGCACTCGAGCTGAGACTGGGTGTACTGGCATTCAACAGGGCATCCTACACTGTTCATTTCCAGTACTGCTTTTAAAGAAGCAGTGAATCTCATCTGAATAAAACTGAACAATCAAAACTATTATTTCCACTCCTTTTGCCACAACTCACGTGGAATTTGAATGTTCTTGTTCTAGACTATGTTAAAAACCCTCAACTCAAACACCTGAACACCCTGCAACAAAACAGAGAACATCAAGCAGCAACAAAAGAGTAGGAGTACAGCACAGGAGAAACCTGAAAGTGATCTAACATTGTGCTATCCTGGTTTTGTCAAGGGAGAAGCAGAATAACCAGACACCTTTAAAGCCTGTGGCACACACACATTCAGTTAATAGTCAGTCTCTACTGACAGGTCTTACCCAAATCATTATTTTTTGTGATAGCTGCAGCTGCCCTGGCTCGAGGTCCCTGTTGTGTGAAATGGTATCCAAATTTGAGGATCTTGGTGTTTTCTTCAAGCATTTTGGCAATTTCTACTTCTGCAAGTGTGCCCAGCTGCTGCCTCTATTAAAATAAAAGGTACACAAAGACAACAGAGCTTATGTGTGTTCATCCTAAAAGAGATCAGAATACTTTAACCAAATCAGTCAATAAACACTCAGCTTCATTATGATTAATTGAATAGGCAGAAGGTCACAAAATATGTTTGTGCACTTCAAAGCACCAGGAAGCCCAGAAGTGACCTGGAATCAACTTCAGCTGTGTGCTTCTGAGAATCTTAAGGGCAATTATGAAGGGTGTTAAGATAATTAAACATAAAATATTTTGAAAAGTTTATCACAAGCAGTCTTCCAATAATATTCAGTCAACTAGGACTGGCTGGTTTTAGTTTTGATATCACCACCACCACCTCACTTACCTGATTATCAATTTTGATCTCTGTCAACGTTTCATTGTCTTTCAGTGCATCAACTAGTGCCAGAATTCCAACTCCAGTGATGAAGTTTGATTCTATGTTTAAACTTTTCAATTTTGTGTTTACTCTCAACATATCTGCAAGAGCCTTTGAATGTAAGAAAGTATCGTTAAACTTTTGGAATTTGCTACAGTCGGACACAGAAATAATCATTTCCATAGGAACTAGTTCCATAGGAGCAACAAGTTCACCAATACATGGTGTAACTTTGCAAGCTTTCACTTGAGACTGAACTGAATCTTCAACCATCTAATCTTCAACCATTCAATTATCTACATTTCCTTTTTAAATAGTATTGAGTCAAGAAAAGGCCTGTCTTTCTCTTGTTACAAACTAAAAAGCTACACAGAATATAAATTGTCTGAAATTAGCATATTGGATTAATTCCATTTTGTAAGTCTTCACAGCCTACAATGAGTAATGCAAGCTGCTAAGTGGAGGCCAAAGAAAGGGGTTAGTTAGCTGAAAGAACTGGATATGGTTAATTTGTAAACAGGAGATCTGACTTTCAGAATGCTTGTGCCTACAGATTTGGTAGGAAGAGGTAAAAATTCAAAGCTCTAAGCACAGTACCAGCATGTAGCTAAAAGCACTTTTATGGAAATATACCTGATCCTACTCCTGAGAAAGGAAGAAAACAAGAATAGCTGACTGCTGAGGTTTACTGTCATAAAAATCATACCCTGTACATTTTTTTCTATCCAGTCACAATGCAAAGAAACCCAACAAAAACCACACCCGAGAAGTCTTACAGATTTTTATTACATTCTGTTTCACTCCTGCTGAAAAGAACTTTTTAATTGACCCAAAACCAAAGCTTTCAAATGTTCATTTGCTTGTTTAATGCTGTCTTTTAAACTAGATTCCTTTTTAATTTGAAATTAATACAAATGCAAAGGATTGTTCTGTCAAAACAATTAGTTTTGTTTTCTTACCTCTTTCTCTGCAAATAAATAAGGCACTGCTTTTGATTCAATATAGAAAAAACCAAGACCTGATGATAAATTAGTTTAAACTGTATCAAACTAGATACCTTGACTAATATTATTTGCTATATATACCTTGACTAATATTATTTGCTGATATGCTTTAAGCAAATCTTTGGTAGCAGGGAGATCACAGAAACAGGTATTTTACAATTTTCTTCAACTAAAACTCTAGTTAGCTAAAAAATATTATGAGCTTTTTCAGTTCTCTAATGTGCTTCTTGCAAATTAATTTTGAATACACTATTGGCTACTGGAATGAACTAAACAATTAGGAAAGAAAGAAAAACAAGAAAGAGATTAGCAAAATGAAAAATCAGGGGGAAGGGACTGGAAACAAGAATTCTCATTCATCTCACACGTGATGCATTGCTGCATATTAGTCTGCTTGTAATCATTTACCAACTTTGATACAACAAAGGTTTGTTAAAGAAAACATACTTTACAGTGTAACAGAACGTAATCATTTTCATCCCTAATCATTTAAACTGGATTAAATTCAACTCCTTACCACTGCCTTTCCATCCTAACTTCCCTTGCACCCCACTTTAGCACATTATCAAGATACTTACAACAGCAACAGGATCATTGCTTCGGGTGGCTGCCAGGCTAAAATTCTTCACATGTGTGTTGGTTTCTAAGGCTTTTGCAAATTCTTTCAGCGTTGGAATTGGTATGTTCTTGAATTAAAAATAGCATTTTACTCTCTTGAGATATGTAAGTTTCCCCCCCCCAGCTTCTTTCATTATCTTATTCTTTTTACAGCAAAATGTCCTATAATATTAACTATCACTGGTCTTGAGCAGTCTCACAGTAAAGATGCAATGGCTACAAGGGTCACTAATTCTATAAAGCAATAATTTTTACAGGGTAGTATCAACCAAGCTTAAAAGGAATAATTTTAGATTATTCTTAAACCAAGTAATTTATTTTCTTCCTTTAATAAGTGAAACAAGTAGCCTTGGCTGCTGACAAGGCTGTCACTGCTGTCTGCACTGTAAGTCAGCAGTGCTATAGTTCTGTTTTCTTTCAAGCAAATATACAAAAGTTTGTCACATTTAAAAACACAACTGTTACACTCAGAAGCTGCCCTAACGGCCAACAGCTCTTTTGTACAAGAATCAGAAGCAGGTCAGGTACAAATATAACTTTGTTTGCAACTGCAGTAACTGAGAGCACATTGCTCCATCAAGGACAAAGGATTTAGAAAAGTAGTTCACAACAGTGAACTGCTGCCAACTTGGCAGCAACAGAAATCTGGGCTGGCAGTAAGAAAGTCTAAGACTTTTTAAATACACATTTGGCAAAAGCAACCAAGATGGCTTATCGGTTTAGCTCCAGGTTTCTGAGCTTATACACACTGCAACGTTTAGCAAAAAGGCTGCTGTACTTAAAATAAGCCTCTCATGCTCTCTTAGAGAGTTTTGCAGCTTAAAGTGTCTTCTACTGAGAAAAAGCAGCATATTTATTGCAGGCTTCAGGTAATTACCTTAATGTTATTTAGATTAACTTCAACAAGACGAGAATCATTATCTTTAATCCTTTGCAGCGTCTCCTCCACATTTGTGGGATTTGGTGGTTCATCAAAAACAGGTAACATTTTTTCACCTTTTACTATATCTGAAAAGTAAGGCATTTAAGTGTAATCAAACAGGTTGCATACATTAACTGTGAATAAATGATACATATAATAAATATTTACTGTATTTAAAGATCATTTCATCAGTCTTTAAATCTCTCCCCCACACAAAAAGCAGACCATCCTCTCCTGAAATACTTTCATAAAGTTCAATCCTTTTCCAAAGGTCTTTACAGCCTTTGTGCTTTTATTGCACACCAGCTTTTTTCAGAAAGCACACAGAAGTTGAACTGCAAACACAAATAGAAAACCTAAAAAGCAACACACACAATGCATGTTTATGCCTACTTTTGTCACCAAAAAGTGACTTAACTGCAGTTTAGTGCACATATATTGTAATTCCAGAACTCAATTAGCAAATGTTATAGACAACACATTTCCAGACTAAGACTAAAGAGTCTAAAAGAATGTTGGTGCAACAGAAAATAGTTAATGCAATAGTAACTGTGTGCAGCACAAAGAATTAATTTTTCCAGCACTTACATACAAACACTTACTTGAGAAGCTGTCTTTGTCAATCCCATTACTGCTTCCTACTACATCACAGAACTGATTGTTTGTTATCAAGTTGGACATTCCCAGTATAGCTGTAAAAGGAAAAAGAGAAACAGCAAAAAATCATTTTTATTGTTCCTGACTAATTCAGCTCAGATGAAGGTTCCTTTAAATAACAAAAACTGATGTCCGTACAACATCCAGTTAACAGTACAAGAAGCCATTCAGTACCTTAATAATTTTAAAACGTAGAAAAAAAATTAATTGTAGACTTTTTAGTTGGTTTTCATATCTTAGAAAAATTTGACCTCACCAGGTTCCAGCTTCAAAGTTAAAAGTGCTGTTCAGTCACAAAATGAAGCTTTAGGAACACAGGTACATAACAACACATTCTTATACACAAGAAAAAGCAGCCACCTACACAACAAAACCCAGGAAGTCTCAGGAATGGATTTAAAGGTTTTGAGTTTGAAAATCAGGTATCTTTTGCAGGCCAAAATAATTTACCTTCCTATAAATTATCACAAATCAACAAAGTTGAAACATTACAAGGAAGCTGGCATATAACATGATATAGTTTCTATCACAACTACAACTTCCTGAGGTCAGATAAATACACTACCACATTGATTAGAGATCTTTCATGTCTAAAGATGCACCAGCCCATTCATACTTCAAAAAAAAACTAACCTGCAAGGTCACCTAATTCTGTGTCTGTGGCACTGGTCAAGGCTTCCTCCAGTTCTGGATCAAGAGAGAATTTTTCTTCTGCAAAAGACTGTACAGGCTTTTGCTTGGGGATAAATATTTTCCCTGGAGTAAACAAAATGAAAAGTCTGATGTTACTTTGTGTTATGTAGTTTCTTATCTTTAAATTGTTCTGCATCTAAAGAATACATATTATATTTAGTAAATCCTGAGAAGAGCACCACAGACAGCAAAAAGGAATGAGGTTTCTTCTGTTTTTGCAAGTCAGAGATGAGGAAAGAGTACAAAGAGAATAAATTTTCAGGAGTCTGTATCATGACTTCAATCTTATTTAATTCTCCTAAGGATTCAAAAGTAACATATAAGCCCCTATTATACCTTTTAAACAGTCTAAAAAAAGTGTCTAAAAAGATTTAATATCACTAGGGAACAATGACCAGTATCCTCTCAAGGGTGGAAGGGACCCAAGCAGAACTTTAATCTGAATGAGAGAGTATATCAAAGAATTACCTGAAATCACAGACCTGCATACTCAGTGCAGTTTTTACAGCATACATGATAATTTCTAATTTCAGATGTGAACTCAGTTCTGAAGTAAAAAAAGAGATGGCCGAGATGCTTGAGAAAACCATGGCTTGTGAACAGCACAAAACAATATAACAGATTTCTCTGGCAATGACATTGTTTCCTGAAATGATACTTAGAAAGGCCATGGAAGATTCCACGGCAAAAGAAACAACAGTAATACCACCAACTTTTTAGTTATTACAGGAAGTAATAAGAAAAGTTATTTTAGAAGACATGCATTTTAAGTAGAGGTCTGTGTAGTTACCATAATTCCTGCATATATCTTCAGCTGAAACGTTAGGGTAGGAAATCAGAATACAAGCAAGATAACAGTTCAGCTGTGAATGGTTTAGAATTGGCCTCTCAGAACACAGAAATCTACCACTGGGTAAGAGCCCAGGAGAGGTAAGGGGTGCTTAGGCTCTGGGCAAATCAACATGGTAAGTAAAAGCTCTGGTACTGATACATTTGATAGAAGTAATTCACAACTAGACAACCGTGAATCAAATCTTAACAATTATTAAAGTTTTTCAGACTTTCCACGTTGCCTGAGCTATCAGCAGAAAGAGCTATGGGAAAGGGGTTCCAACTTCCTTTTGTTATTTCCTGGGGTAGGAAGTGGTGTTGACAGTCTTCCTATGAAGTCTCAGTTCTAATTCAGGAACCCACTCTCTTCCATAGTTATACAATATTTCCACACAGGAACCACCCTAGCTCATCCCATGATTACAGACCTCCTGGGCAGAAGCCAGAGACTAAGATTTTTTCCCCCTCGTACTGCTCACAAGTTTGTCTTGTTACATGCTTGGGCTAAGACTAAGTTTAGCATTTTTGAATAACTCCCAGTGACACAAAGCTTTATAGGGATGTTTCAGTTTTATTTAGGGGAAATGAAGTGGGATTTTGGTTTCACCACTGGTGGGAAGCAATGCTGAAGCCAGGTCCTGTGTCCCACAGTAGACACAGACATCACAAAACCCATCCATCTCCTCTCTTTCTCTTCAAGTTCCCATCCTAGAGTAAAGTAGTTGTGGTTCATTTTCTTTTTAAAGGAAGTTAATGCATTACCTCTAGCACAGATTACAGAGAAGTACATCAGGTTTTTCTCTGACAACACAGTCTGATGATCAAGATCTGTTGCTAGCAACACAGTATTTTTGTTCCTGGGTTGCTATCTCTTTGGAAACTTGTATAAATGGTCATTATCCATATTTAGAAGCAGAAAATAAAACTCCTTACATAACTGTAATGACTCCAAACAGTAGCTGAATGCAGCTGACATGTATTACCACCCATATCTCAGCTTTGATGGACAGTGCAAAAGAAACTGTTTGTGGTGATTCAGGATTAAAAGAAAACTTTCATAAAGTAAAGGCTTAGGTAGTAGATGTTGCAGGTTATTTTAATATAATTGATACAGTATGTTTCTACCATTTTATTTTACCAGCATCACCTACTGAGGAGAAAATAACTTTCAACTTAAATTGTAATTTTCAGAAGAGATACAAGAATGTTTGACAAGGTTTTCATTAACCCATAAACAGCCATCCTCTCTGCAGCATCAGTGGAGCAGGCAGAGAGCAGAAGAAGGAAATCAATCTCAATTAAAAGCATCTTTGCAAAAATGTATTTCAACCTAGATCAGCTTTCTGTCTGCTTCATCACACAGTACTCACAAAAAAAGAGCTACTTTTCCTGATGTTGCTTTTAAGTAATTCTTAAATTCATAGGTTAGGAACATCTGGTTCTAAACATTTGCTTTCTAAGAGTAAGACTAAATTTATACATATGTGCCTGACTCTTAAGAAAATCTAAAAAGAGTGAGAAGTATATTCAGTTTTTAATAAAGCAAAATTGTTAAAAGCCACTGCCCTCCAGAAATGATCACTGCAGCCAACTCCAGTCATATGAACTGAGTCAGGAGCAGTTTTTGTTATAAAACAGGTCACACCCTTGTGTACATAATCTCTCATTCTTGGCTTCATGTCATCCTAGCCCAGAATTCAGAGGTTTACAATGCACACACAAAAGCAGGTCCTTCCCCACTCCCCACTTCTAGTAATGAACTTACTTCAAAAGGGATAAGACCCCTGTGTCTCTGGGGACAATGATCTAACTCAAGGCCTGCTGCCAAGATAGTTTGGCAATTCCCTTCCTCCCTCAGTAATGCAAGCTTTAAATAAAAAAAAAAAAACCAGAAACCACTACACATCTGTGCAGCCCATGAGATGTACAGCTTTCCTGGCCCTCAAGTGGAACATTTCCAAATAGCAGGGATTTGATTACATGAAGGAACATGACATCCTCCTTCTCAGCCGACAAGGATATTGCAAAGATTAAGCAATACAACACAAAGAGGCAAATTTCAGGGATGTTCACATCATTTTTGTAATAATTATATATTCAGGTCTTCTATGCCTTTAAGCTAAAATGTTAGATGATGCACATCCCAGGATTAAGTCACAGGCTTTATCTGCTACAGAATGAATTTGCAGTCCCAAGTCCAACACAACTGTATTGCTCAAAAGGCAGGAACACTGGATGCTGTTTGTTGAAGTGCCCTGGATGTTTCATACACAGACTCACAGTATCCAAGGTGGGGCTCAACATGTTGCAGAAATCAGGACTGTTCAGTACTGCATATTGCTGGTACTATTCTCACACATCCCACAGTCCTACCCCCATTCCAGCAGGCAGCCACACTTTACACAGCAGAAGAAAGTCTAAAATCCTCTTTTACAGTACTCCACTTGTGGAAATGAATCAAGTGTTACCTCAGGACAACTGAATACAAGTTTTTCTCATCAGTGGTTTCACAAAGAAAAGTGAGCAACATCTGATATATTCCTTACATCTTATGTTCCTTAAAGTCTCCTCAGTTCAGAAATCTGTATAATCCACACTTCATCCATCTCCAGTTGTTACTATGTGAGAGACTAAAGTTCATCAATTCACTTGTAAGCACAATTTAATACTAATTTTTTTAAATTCAACATACAAGTGACTTCCTCAGTGCCTTACTGCAGAAACAGAACTGTTATTCGTTATCTGATTACAGACCACAGAGCAGTGAGTTAAAAAAACTGGTTTACATTAAGGCTGGAGTATCATATGTTACTTTGTTCTAGTGCTCTTGTATGGAGAATGTCAATCCCACAAGCTCTTTCTGCAAAGCTCCTACAGGATATTAGCTTCACTTCACAACATGTAACACACTCCTTTAAAGACCAGGGATTCAATGGCAAACAGAGAACACAGCATCCCAAATCCTGCTGCAGCAGAAGGCAGTGGTGATCCTGAGCAACAAACTGAGCAGGGTGGCAACAAAAGAGCTCTGGCCAGCTCCAGTTTGAGCCTAACAACACTTTCTGGGTGATACAGACAAATCAAAACAAAACAAAAAACAAACAAACAAACCCCTCAAACTTCAACAAGCCCCAAGCATTAAAGCAGAATCAGAGAATCACAGAATCAGCTAGGTTGGAAAAAACCTCTGAGATCATCGAATCCTGCAAATTTACCCAGAACAAACATGCCCAGCAGGAATGAAATGGGAAAGCTGGAAGAATAGGCTACAATTAGTAAAGTGCAAAGGCTAGAAATGCAAAGTTTAGTTTACATAATACTTTGCTAATGCCTTCCGTTATACAGCACAAAGTACATTACTGATCTTAGATATGTTTTTATCTCAGGTGCAATAATTCAGTTCTTTTGCTGTTCCCAGAGAAGTGGGGAGCATTGGTCAGACAAGTGGAAAGCACTAAAGCCTTTACTGTTTGCAGGAGAGATCCTTCTGCTTGCAGTATGCCTTGTAAAATCTTTATGACATACTTCCATGCACAGATTAAGACAAAGCTAGTTTTGTTGCAATTATTACCACATTGCTCTCATGAATCTGTTGAACAATGCTTTACTGTATGGTTCAACACTTAATTGGAACAGAATGTGACTTAAATTGTTAAATCATGTTTAAAAACAAAGTAAGTCTTTACTGATGCTTTTAGAAACAAAATCAGGCACTGGAAAAATGGAATAGGATATAATTTAGGGATTGTTAAACTTCACATTACTTTAGCACTGTTCATCTCACTACAGGAGGACACCGTACATTATTTCAGATCTTCTGCATTTCATAGCACAAAATAAAAGAGAGGTTCCAAAGACTTGGGAGAAATCACATCCTCTATCACTGAAAGAGATGCAACAGTGTTTTAATAACATGCTTACCCCAAAATGAGGTACTTGGAACACCTGGAAGAGAGGATTTTCCTTTACACTGTAGTAGGAAAACAAGGTTACCAGGATCGGCAGCAAGCCAGGATGGCTAAAATTAACCCAGGATAAGCTTCTTGGATAAATCTGCTGGTCAAATCACCATGCAGGACATCAGTTCTACTAAAATAGAATAGGGAGAGAGAAGGATAGATTTGCCCCTTCTTACTCCATGAAATGAATAATTAGGCCAAGTTAGAGCAACAAGACCAGCCAGGCACACAGAAATGTTTTAGCAAATCCTGACCCAAAATATGGCACCAAGAAAACAGCTGCAGTTCAAATCCATCTCTCTCCTCCCCAAACCTCTGGAACTGAAGGTTGCATTTGTCAGTTTTCTTCTGAATTAACAGGAGACTCAGGCAAGATTTTCACCTACCCCTATTCTACAATGTTTTTAGCATTTTTCCATAATACATTTTTCTAGCCAAAGAGAAAAATTATTATCCAGCCTAGTTGGTTGTTATTTTTTTCTTTTAGTATTAAAGAAAAGCACATTAGGATACAAGCTCCCTCTAGATAAAAAAGACCTACACATGTATTAAGTTTTACTTCATACCCTTTCCAAGTTCTAAATCTAGATAAATATAATGGTTTCTTGATTTAAAAGATTAAGTTACATAGATTTGCCATATTTGTGCAAAATGATACAAACATGGCAGCAAGTCACAGCTGAACCATAATATTTCCATGAGGGGAAAAGAAAAGATTATCCATCACCTACTACAAAATGAGCTTGGCCTTCTTGCCTCCTGCCCATTTACCAGAGCATGAATTTCCACACAAAACATTTGTTTCCACATTTTTAGTTTTAATGAAAGTAAGCTCCATTCCATGTTTCGTATTGTTTTCTCTTCTTCTATGGCATTAAAATAAATGGTGGAAAAAGTTATTAAACAGCAACTTTTTTTTTTTTTTTCCAAGAGATACAGGAAATTTTACTAACTAAACTGGTATGACTCATTGCAACATGCAGACACGCTGCTGTTTAGTAATACTTTATTACATAGAGGAAATGACATTTGATCTTTCTTAACCAAGATCTACGTTACAGCTGGTCCCTTCTGTTTTTCTACACGATTCTCACAGATTTTATCTACCCAAACAAATACTTGTGCTGTGTGCATGTATATGTAAGCTGACTGTAGAGAACCACCTATCTGAACCATAAGGCACCACACCTGCTGCTATGGGTACCTTCTGCATTCAATACATTGCAATGTCCTTATCTCAGTTACTCTTACAGATCCTGTCAGCAAAGAAGTGTCAAAGTTATCTCAACCTAAGTGGTGTTAAACTTCAAACTAAGGTAAAACACAGTGTATGAAACACAGTACATCATACACAGAGTGCAGCACATTGTAAAGTCATAATCCCTCTATTACTTCAAGGAAAAAGTAGGAAGACACCAGCATTGTCAAGTACCTGGCACAGGCAGAGAAAATGCAAATATGCCCAAGAAAATTTTCACCAAATATACACCACTATCTATAGACAAACTCAGCAGATGAATGAAGACTCAAATCTGAAATAAGCTATGATTCACGCCAGAGAATTAAGTAGAATTAAAGGGTTTCAAACCCTTAAGAAAAGAGGAGCCTGTTCATCTTGGGCAGCTGGAATACAGCTTAGCAACAATTTGCTGAAGTCTTAGTGCAGCAGATCTGCCCCTGCTGCTAGGGAAGGTTCAGACAAGCCCGGATTCATAAGCACTCAAACACTTGTGGTGACACCTAAAGGCCTCCTCCTATGCACATGTACCCAGCACAGCTCTGGGAGTTTCTGTCCTTACCAATACTGCTTTGTAAGGCACAGCAGATTTGGGAACTCTTGTTTTATGGGAAAAATATGAAGTTATTCTTACAATATTTAAGAAGCACATTATTATTTAATTTTCTCTTGAAAAGGCAAATGCTCCCATCAAGTCAATGAGAATACCAGATCTAAAGTAAAAATTTCTAATCCCTGGCTTTAATAACATGTCCATGGTTTTTAGACCACAAACCACTGCCAGATTTCAAAACCTGTTGTGATGTTAACTGTGTAATTAGTTAGTACTAACTATGCAATCTTATTAAACCTTTCAGTAAGGACACTAGAAAAACAACATGACTGCATACACCACTTGTCTGGCCTTGTCAGCCTACAGCATCTTTGAACATTACTGAGTGTCTCCCATGACACCTCTCAACTGCTATTTTTCTAATTCAACACAGTATTACAAAGGTTGCTGTGTGTGTTTAGCACAAGGCACAAGCCACAGGCACAGTGACAGTATTTGTTATTATTGACGCAAATCAGGGTTAGCTCTTACTTTGAGGATCCCATCCCCATCAGAACTTGGCAATTCATGATAAAATTTTTGAGTCTTATTTCCTTCCTGTGCTACGTACAAACAGCACACCAGCTCCAGAGGCACAGAATGCCTGAACAGGAAGCCTCCTGCCTCTGCACAGCAGCACTCACTTGGGAACGCCGCGAGTTAAAAAGCATTAGAGCTGCCAGTGCTCCAATAAAATTTGGTTCACAGCAGTTCTGGCTGGTCCACTTCAGGGATTTCATAACCACTTGCACCGGAAAGGGTGGTGTTACCTTTCTTTTCTCTCGTAAAAGGCACATAGTCCTCCCTGTCTTTGTGCTCCAGCGCCTGCTTCTCCAAGTAGGCCAGGAGCCGCTCCCGGTCGAAGGGGCCTGAGGCCTTCTTTGCAGTCTGGTCCTTCTGCCGGAAGCCTGCGGGCAGGAGAGCGTTCTGCAAAACAAATGGAGCAAACAAGGACAGCTTAGAAAGTCTGGGGGAACACCTGCTTAGTTTCATTTCCCTCTTCCTTCTCCCTCTCCGCAAGGTTCAAACCTGAGACATCATCCTTTTCAGGCAAACTCTGATCCCTTGCCAACTTCCGTTTTTTGGGGCACGGGAGGACACAAAGTAACCTGTTCTTTAGACACAGAGAATGCAATGTAAAATACAGCACACTGCCCTCTGAATAGCACTGAAGCAATTCTTTAAGTACAATAGCTCCCAGCACTCGATTTGCTAGTTAATTTGAACTTCATTTCTAGAATGAGCACTGTTTAAATGAGTAGTAGTAAGAAATAAAACTCAGCTATTTCCAGTTTAGACATTCAGTAAAAGCCTACTTCCTCTATCATTTATTTATATGTTTCTAAGTCTTTAGGACAACTGACTCTGCTATTGTTTGGCATTTAACACAGAGTATTGCTACCTTTTGACCTGACTCAAAGTGGGGTGTTTCTTTGATATGATCAACGTATTTTAACTAAAGAGAAAAAAAAGAGGATATCAGTAAGGAAAGAACAGAATGTATAGGAATTCACACTCTTTTAAAAGACAACCGATCTCTTTTGCCAGTTCTCCCCTGTTAAAATGCCCATAAAGCCAAAGGCAATTAAAATATCAATAATATCCTGCAGTGCAACAAAATAGGTGATCATAATATTCTTAACTGATCCCTACACATTAAGATTGAACTTAATCTTAAAGGAAAAACAGAGAACCACTAGGTGAAAACACAAGTCTTGGAGTCTGACATCAGCTGCAGTATCAGCAGAGGACAACTCAGCTCTTTATAGCAGAAAGCTCTAATATCCCAATATTCCAATACCCCATGCTGACATAATCATTCAGGAGCTCAGTAATTATTTACCTTCTCTTTACAAAGTCAGCATGAGGACAGTGACAAATACAGACTACCAGATACAGGACCAGGAATCCTCAGAAGAGGTTAGCACCCTGCCTCTCCCATCAAACTCTAACAGCAGAAGCAGTAAAATAAAAATGGATGGAAAAGGGCTGTTTATTAGAAACAGGAAAGTTAAACAAGCCTTTCTAAATAAACTTTCTTTTCAAGAACGTGACAAAGAGCAATTTTTATTTATAAATAAATCCCAGAAAGCTCCTCCTGACTATCCTTTCTTCCATTCTCCTCTATTGCAGTTCCCTGTAAACAGGAAATAAACATTATACACATGTATATATATGTAAGATCACCAGCAGACTAGCTAAAAGCTCTGTCCAAAAGTTTATCATACAAAGTCTCAACTTATTTTACCCAAGTTATGGAACAAATGAAAAAAATAAAACTTCTTTTGGCTAATGCCTACCTCAGGGTCAAGATCATCCAAAACAGTTTCCAGTTGTTTCAGTTCTTCTTCTGAAAGTTTGCCAAGAATTTCATCCTCATCGAGATCTTTGTACTTGTCCAAGTCCTTTCGAAATGGGAGCGTCATGACTTGGGCAGTAGCAAGTTGCTCAAATACTTCAAAGTCCAACTCTTAATTCTTAACCAGATCTATGAAAAAAATTTTTTAAAAACAAATAACCATAGTTAAGGTAAATATGCCAGCTGCAATGCATCTTCAACCTCCAAAAACATCTCTGAAAGGAAAGCTTTTCATCCAGTAGTCATATCTGTTACCCTAGAGCAGCCAAGGAGCACATGGAAGCTGTGTACACCTTCCTTCTCCACTGACAAGAATCCTGTCCTGCCATGCCCTTTTCCATCAGTAACTAAGCCACATCTATTGCCAGATGAAAGTCAGTTCCCAGTCTTCCCAACGAGAACTCCAAGGCCATAATTCCCACAGAGCAGGGCAGGTTGTAGGACAGGAGGGAGGAGATACCAACTATACCTAGTATTTATGAGTCCAGTTAACACCAGTGGCTTTTATGCAGATGGTTATTTTGACTGCAGATAATGCAGCCAAAAGAAGAGTTAAGATGCTCCTCATTTATTGCTGCTGCTGCAGTTCGAGGGCAGTTAAGGAGAACTCTATAAACAAGCTAATTGGTGATTACTGACTCATATCCCTGCATTTTACCTACAGAAGAAACAGAGGAAGTTTGCCTCCGAGTTAATTATAGAACTACCATTGAAGCAACATTCTGTTCTGTACAAGGAAAATCAAAATACCTTGATGAAAAGCGTAGGAAATACAGCTCCTAAGCAGCAGCACTCCAGTCAATCCTATGAAAAAAAAATTTAAAATTTTTTTAAAAAATTAAAAGTAAAGAACGGACTGTGCAACTGCTCTCTAAATATTACACTTGGACAAAATCAGGGTCCTTCAAAAGATGTACAGTCTATATAGCACTTCTCATGGACAAGCAGAGTGCAGGGAACCTTTTTTCTAATGCTCAGAATTTTTTAGCATTTGTCTTGGAAAAAAACCAGTTAATCACAGCAGTGTTGAAGCAGACAAGTTGTTTCCTCTCGTTTTCCTGAAAGAAGTTCCAGGATTCTCATTTTGTTCAGCCAAATTCCTGCTTCAAGTTGATTGAGCACACAGACAAAAAAAGGTAACTTGAATGACTCTCTGTAGGTAAGCAAGAGAGTCCATAAGGTATTTGGGGAGCAAAAGCTAAATCCATACATTCAGACTCATTAGTCTCCTTAAATCCTTTCTTGGCTCTACAGAAATACTCAACACAGACCAGACACACAGCAAATGTTATTTCTTCTCCAGCAGCCCCATTCCAGGTCAGATGCTCACACCACATACACAACTGCATTACTTCAAACCTGCACTTACAATGTCCTTCAAAAACAGATCAATGTAGCTTTTGTCTCTTAAGTAAAATGAAAAGAAGGACTGTATATACATACACACTGTACCATGGAATCCTGCTTAGAGGATTCCTTCACCTCAGTTGTTTACACCAAGGAAGGTCTCCCTGGCTGCCACAGTTACATACAGTGACATTTTAATTCAGAGACACTAAACAGACATGAGCACATAAAGCTTCATCCATACCATTCAGTCAAGTGTACCTGTAAAGTAAATCTAGTTTTAACAATTGCCATTGCCAGAACGGTGAATTTTCAGTCCCTACCAACACCTACAGCTGAATGAGGAATATATTTACAGCTATTTTCAGCATGTCTTCTTTTTAAAAAATATTGCTGATATAAATACTAGAGCTTACTTGTAAACTACAGCTGACATCGATGGAACACAATTCCAAAGCTGAACTACCAGCTGAGACAGAGTTCTCTTGAACATAACAAAAACCAGGAGGAACTCCCAATTTCATGGTAAATTCCATCAAAAAGAACACAGTCTGGCCTCCTCCAAACTAAACCCAATCATGTTGGAAGAGCCTGGACCTTTTGCAAGAGGCTACAGAGGTAGGAGCATCCGAGTTTGGTGGCTGCAGAAAATGCAGAGAGCAGCACACCTATGTTTTCCTAAGTTCCAAAAGTAACTCAGGAGTGTCTCTGTGGCCGAGAGCCACCTCCCACAATTCTCCATAGTCTAGTGGTAATAGTCTAATGCCTTTGTTTCTTCAGGTGCACAGCAGCTGATGGACAATTTGCTGATGACAGCAGATGCCACACAATCTGCATGAGAACTTCTCATTCCTAGAGCCTTAATGTTTTGCCCTTCCTGACAGTTCAAGCCATTACACACTATCATAAGAGAAAACATTTCCTGCAGCTGATTACACGGCATTGTTTGTGACCAGGCTGCACTGCCTGAGCCCTACATCAAGACTCTGCTATTTACCACATTTCTGCATGTCCATTTGCATTCAAATATTAAAAGGTGTAGTTTTAACAGGTAATTACAAGGAGCAGAATGGTTAGCAGGCTGCAGAATAATGCTGCCCTTACTCTGACAGAGAGCAGCACTGCATAACCATACATTACTTCACGTAGGCTGTATTTCCTCTCCATTAATTGTTGTAAAATGCTGCCATCCAGAATTAATTACCTTTTATTTATTGCACTGGTATGTTTCATATGGGAAAACTACTCATCTTTTGTAATACAGTAATTAATGTTCAGGTCACAGCCCTTGGTCTCACTGTTTCTACAATAAGACCAAAGTAGCCATTTCAAATCCTTAGTTACAGTGTTCAGACACACACACACACACAAAATGAAACATAAAGAAGCAGAACAAAAAGCCCTATCTCTCTGTAGCTGAGTCTTCACTTCATCAAGAAGAAGAGAACCACATGTGGCCTGCCAAATATAAATTTATGTTTTGGACATATTTTTTAATACCTATCAAAGGTAATTTTCTTAAAAAATATGAAAGCATACAATGTGACAAACCTTTAAAACTGACTAGCACATCTATACTACACAGAGGTTGCTTGGTAATGACTTTCAGAAACATTCCCTACAAAAGAAATCACAGCATATAAAACACTAGCATATAACATACTAAAAATCAGGTTTTAAAACATGGTGTTAGGAATTCTCATTGCATAAAAGGGCATAAAGGCCAGCTGAAGCCCTAATCTAATCAAACAAGCCCTTCACCTCCCATTAAACACACTTGGTACTCTATTTGTTCTTCACCACTCACTGCAGCAGTTCTGCACAGAGACATGGGGAACAAACTACAAGCTTTTAGAAAGAGCACTTACTTAGCCTGTGAATATTTGTGGCACATTATATATATATGTGTGTGATCTTACTGCAGAGTCACAGGCAAAACTGTAACCCTCAATTTTGGCTTTGCAAATACTTTGCCCTTTTTTGATGAGCCAAGCTAGTTTTCTTCTAAGTATCCTTCTTAGCTTTACCATGAAAACATTACATATATTAAAAGTCCAAAGGGCTTTTTCAGAGATATAAGCATAAGGGGAAGTTCTTCAGCAACTTCATAGACACATAAGAAACATTTAGGGAAATGGAAACAAAGCCATCACTTCCAGTCCATCAAATTTCAATTCTCTGTTTGTTATGCAGAAGACAACTTGAAAAACCAAAAATGAAGAAATTCTGCTGGACATCACAGAGACAAAAATCTTGTCATGATTCCTTCACCTGAGAAATTAATGAAGAACTAAAGAAATGAGAAAACAGCAGTAACTTTAATTTAGGCCATTTTATAATTACCTGAATCATCCCCTGAAAGACTGTCAAGCAACTTCCATACACCTCTTAAGTTAAAATATTTTTGTTTTCTCCTCTCCTCTCTGAAAGTATATTTTTAAAAACCAAAAGATTCTAAAAATAGCAAGCTTCCAATTATCTTTTAAAAACTCCCACTCCCCCCAATTTCTATGATATTTAAGAACACAATTTCTTTGGACCCTAACAGGAGAAACTCTTTAGAAACAAACTGCCCACAGGAAACTCTAGGGTTGTTAAAGTCCACTGCAAATGGTTTCCGTGACTTGGATTTTAAAATAGAAGCGACATCACGAAAAACAAACCGAGCTGGTTTTGGCCAGCACATTCACAGAGTTCACTTTAATCTCATTTGTTCCTCCCGAGCCTCCTTCCCCCCAGCCTCTGCATGAACCCTGCCCAGAGCAGGGGGGTCCACAGGGCTGTCAGCATTCCTGCACCACTCAGGGCCCCAGACCATCCCAGCTCCTTGGAGGAGCCTAATCTGAGCATTTCCCCAGGGAACCCCGACGATGGCAACAATTTTATTTTCCAGTGTGCGAGATTATACAGAACTGTTCATGAAGAATGTGCTGCACTTGAAAGAGCTATCTTTACTTACCAGAGCTAGGAGAACAATTAGTAAATATAAATATTACCGTAATCCCAGAAGGTTCCTTAGGATGTTTTTCTAATGCCTTATGATAACTCTGTTGAACAGCTCAATGCTGCTTTTCTTAGCAGAAAGCTCTCAAAAACCCACCTGAGCCTCCCAAAACTCCAGCCTGGGGTAGGGCACAGGATCCAGGTTCTCCTGCCCAGGGAACCAGCAAACAACCCCCAGCCCAAAGCCTTATGGAGCCAGCAGGTGGCAGCTCATCTTTGCCTAAGCTTTTCGTCAGGGTAAATTGTATTTTCCAGGCAGAAAGGAAGAGCTATTCTGGGCTATTTTCCTAGAAAAGCAAGCCTGAGGCTTCATGCTGCTCACAGAGACAATTCACAAAGTTTTACACACGGAAAACGGGGCTTCCCCAACTTCACATTTGTCCTCAAGGTGACCCAAGGAGTGGATGGGGACAGACAGCTACTGCAGAGGAGCTACATGGACCACAAAGATGCTTTCATGATGAAGGAAATCTGAACACATCTGTGTTTGCACTTCCTGCCAGCTCCTCTGTATCAGAGGGCACCTGGAACCAGACAAGGCCCACTTTGCTCTTCTATATGTCCTGTATACAACGACACTGAACTAAGGCACAGCTGTCTTGCAGGCAGGGTGCTCTGAGTCATGGCTAAGCTGTCAAGCTGGCATTGTCCAATAAAAACTTACTCCTGTGTGCCTGTTTTTGAAAAGCAGTCACCCACATTGCAGGGCTACATGAACATGCCCACCCAGCCCAGGCAGTGGCGAGGGAAACAGGGCCAGGAGCCCTGAAGCCTGTACTTGGCAAGCTGCACAGGGCACAGAAGTGGCAGCAGTTCAGCACACCCATCTCCATGACACTTCCAGGCACGCTCATCAAACTTGCTGCAGGGCAGCTGTTATGATCCCAAATAAACACAAGGCCAGGATAAGGTAAAAACCCCAGATACCACAGATACTGCCCGCCCTGAGAAGTTCCTCTGGCAGAAATCACCACTCCAGCTGTCCATTCCCTCTCCCAACATGCAGGGCAGCACCACTGAGTCAGGAGTTACTGACCAACCAGGATGAAGGATGTTTTGGCATCATTTTTTTTCAGACAATACCTGGATGTTCATTAGAGATCTACTGCCCATGGACATTAATACACAGTATCTCCTCCTGGAGGAACTGCCTGCAGGTGTTTTAGTCAAAAAGAAACATCAGGTGCAAGCTATCTGAAAGTTTATAGAAACATTCAGATATTTCTATCTATTGAAGAAAAGTGGAGAAACTTGCAAGCCTGGAACAGGACAGCAGAAGAAATTAATTTAATTCCCATTATGTTACTTCAGGAAAACTTCTGAGTACGAGCCAGTTTCAGGTTCTCCCTTACATCATGGTCTGTACACCTGACACAGTCCCCAAACTTTAACTGATTCAGTACATTATAGCAAACTCCAAGCACACAGCAACCTCTCTAGAACATCGATTACTTTCAACAGGACCTGCGCCTACCCACAAAGAGACGGGCTGACAGGCGCTGGGAACAGCCCCCCGAGAGCTCCGTGCCCGCTGCGGGACGGGCCGAGCGCCGCCGGGAGCGGCACCCCCCGCCCGGGGCCCGCTGCCGGTGCAGGGAGCGCACCCCGCCCCGGAAAGGCATCCCTCCGTCACCGAGCGCCGGGCAACCGGGGCAAAACACACGGAGCGAACCGCAAAGGGTTACGCTGACCAGACCCACGGGCGAAAGCTCTCAAAGCCACATTTTCGGGTTCCGCGGCAAAGTCGGGAGCCGGCTAAACAACCACTCACCCCCTCCCCGGCACGCCCCCCGCCCGGCCCCTCTCAGACCCGAGCCCACCGATAGTGCAGCTGCCAAGCCCTGCCACAGCCCGGACCTCCGAGACACCAGCGGGGCTCCGGGGCCGCCGGGCTCCGGCCGGGCGCCCACAAAGCCCCGTCTTTCCTCCTCCCGCCGCGGGCGCGGCCCCTCCCGCCGGGTTCCCACCGCGCCGCGGCAGCGGGCGGAGGGCAGCGCTCACCCGGGCCCTCCCCGGCACCCTGCGGCCGCCAGCACCCACCGCCCCGTCCCGTCCCGTGCCCGCGGCCGCTCCCCGCTCACCCGGGCGGCGGCCGGAGCAGCTCCCTCAGCCCGACCCGCGCCTGCGCCGCGCGCACGCCGGGAGCCGCAGTCCGGCCGCGGGCGCAGGCGCGGGTTCGGGGCGGTGCCTCACGGAGCGGGGCCGGCCCCCGAGCTCCGGGAATGGTGGGGGTCGGGTGAGGGCGCGCTGGAGAAGGTGTCCCTGCCCCTGGCAGGGAGGTTGAGTCGAGATGGTCTGTAGGATCCCTTCCAACCCAAACCACCCCGTGCTCGTAGGTGTGTGTGGCAGCACCTCCCAGCCGGGCACAGCGTGTGTGCTGCCAGCGGGGGCAAACTCCTGTGTGCCTACACGCATCCTTGTAGATCTCTCTTGTTGCTTCTTCTTCCTTCCTTTGGCCCCTTCAGGTCTTCACCTCTGCCCACATTTTGCTTTTTCTGTGTTCGAAACATGCAGCTTTTCCCCTCCAGGCTGTGGTTGCGTTCAATGTCCTCTCTCTCCCTGACCGACAAAAGGAGCATTTACAGGGACACGGTGGCTTCTCCTGCTCCTGTTGGCACGAAGCAGGTGGAGTCCAAGCCCTCTCAGGCTCTGCTGTGTGCTCAATGAATTTTTGGACGTTTCGGTTATCAAATACCATGCACTAGTAAACACCGTGTGCTAGTAAACACTATCCGTGTACAGCTGTTTAAGGTTTATAATGTGAAAGAAATCTGGACAGGTTGTCTTGAGAAAAGTGAAAGATTTAACTTGATTTAGTCTGTTCTCTGCCAAATTTCAGTCTACATGAAAGCTGGAGCTGCTCACAGGCACCAGTCTTCAGAGGTCTGGTTATTTTACTATGAGTTCTTATCTCAGTGTTGGAAACTTCAAAATAAATAAAAAACCACAGCAGTTAAAATTAAGGCAGTTGTCTGGTATGTGCTACTTGAATGGCTAAGTTCTGGCAACACAATGGAAAATAAGATTTTACAGCAGAAACTGTTGAGTAACTATCCTTGTAGGCATTGCCATTCCTGCCTTCAGAATAAGGCATTTGTAGCATGAAAATGATAAGCAATAGTCATTAATTAGTTCAGATACAGCAGTTTGAACCTGCATTTTCGAGATATCAAGGGTGCTACAATACTGCTGTAACCTAGAGAAAAATGATTCCCAGGCTTACACAGTAGGTAATGCTGAGACTCTGATTTTTTCAGAGTCACTGAAAACTCTTGGCAGATTTGGGAAAAGAAATTGTTGGTGAAATGTTGGCCCCATGGGCATCAATGTGAGTTCTGCTGTCTGCTTCAGTAGCGCCAAGATTTCCATAAGATATATAGAGTGTAAGGTATCATACATCAACAATCTTATTTAATACAGAGTTTATTTAAAACATTTTAAATTCTAATAACTTACGGCTAATACATTACTTAAAGATAGTTTGCAAAGTCCTGACTGTGCTGAAGTCATTGGTGAGGCTCTTATTAACTTTAATAGACAGATAAATTATATTAAAATCAAATTTGTGCAAACTTAAAATGGAACAGTCCTTATTTGTTGGGCTGAACCACCTGAGAGTGCTTCTCTTCAAAGGAAGAAGCTCCCAGTGCATGCAAAGGAGGAGGCTGGGGGTGGTCAGCAGGTTTTTGACTACTGTGAGATTCTCCCTTGTGAGGCAAGAGACTCACAAAGCCATGCTGAGCCCTTCTGGCACCATGGGTGAATGAAGAGGCACTTTTATAACCACAAGAGCACTTCTGAAAATGCTCAGCAGTAGATTCATAACCCTCCAGTCATTAGAAGGCTGGTGGTTTCCAGGCTGACAGACCAACGCCTGCATCAGAGGGCAAACATTATGTTCTCAACAGGATTAGTAGAAGGCTTTCTTTTTCAAAGGCTAGAATACAATTTAAAACAATCTTACATTGTTGAAGAAAGTGTTGCAAATATGAAAACTGAAAAGACATAGAAGACCTGATCAGCAATGGAACTTCCACTGGTGCTGAAACAATGCACATGCACAGCAAGAGCAGATGCAGCATGGAGCTCCCTCACTGCTGTTCACTGAGCTGAGCTGTGCACAGCAAGAAAGGAGCATCCAGAGCCTCAGACATAATCCTAAACTGATTAAATCATAATATATTTACTATCTACAATGATGATGTGGTACAAATGAAGCACATTGGTTCAAAGTATACGTCTTGAGAGAGAAATATCTTCCTGTCTGGGGAATTCACACAGGATATAGACAGGAAGGATATTGTCAGTAAAGCAGATGATAATAAAAAGCGATGCCTGACCCTCTATCCTATATATCTTTTTTTTATGAGAGTGGACAAACTCAGATTGAAACAAATTATGACTGAGGAAATCATACTTCTTCCAGTGGCAGCAAAGAAGGACACGGTTCAGTCCTGGTTCTCTTGAGACACAGCCCTAACACTTGGAGAACTTTATGTTCTGACATGAAGGGTTAAGATGAGCACATTCTCATGAGCAGACTGGTTTGTACAGCCTTTGGTGGGAGGCCACAGGGGTAGCTACCTACCTGTGTTTGGGAATTTTTCCCTCTTCTTGCAGATGGCTGCCTCATGGCCAGCCCCGGACCAGCCTAGCTGAGGCGTGTCTGGAGACAAGCTCAAGCACTGACCATCAGACTCACAGCATTCTAAGCCCTGTCAAATGTGCTCTGCTCAGCATGTGGGAACACACCTCACAGGGTTTTGTTTCTCAAGTGCACTGCTAAGACCATTGACACATACCAAAATGACCCAATTCTCTGTGAGCTGGCTGTATAAAAGAAATATGTGGTATGAGAAACTTCCCCAGTGCATACTGATCAGCTGCAGTTGGCCTTTGTCAGACCTCAGGCTCTCTAGATAAAGAAGGAAATCCAATGCTGAACAAGTTGTTCTGCAGATTCGTTCACGGAGAAGGAGGTGGAGCAGAAAGGTCTTCAACATTCACAGACTCTGTCTGTAAAGAGAGGACTACAATATCTGTTGGCTCCTGCTCCCTTCTGAGGAGCAAACCACTTTAAATGGGACACCGTAAAGGAGGTGGAGAGAGCTGGCCTGTGCCTCCAAAGTCTCCTTCTCACACCAGGACAGACAGCAGAACTGAGGTGGGTGGAGAAGCCACTGTATCTCAGCAGATGGAGTAGAAGTCATGTTGCCTTTACTCCAGGGAAGTGTGAGCCAACCCAAAGCACACTTTTGAGCATGCTGCCTGGAGCAGAACAGGGGTGCATAGTTCTGTAAGGTGGGTACAGGGGGTGGTGAGGTGCTGAGGTCTGGGCCCAGGGTCAGCAGTGGTTTTCTTATGTCCTTGGGCAATTCCTTCCACCTTTCAGCCAATGGCATGAGCACAAAGTGGGCCCCAGGCTTAAAATAGCCATCTGTTCTGTGTCTCACTTTCCACATCTGCAAAATGGAAATTGTGGTTCAATTTGACATCTACTGCTGCAAATTAATTGGTACAGATGAAGTATTTATTATTACCATTACTGCCATGGTAAATGCAGTGTACAAATTCAAATGCAATTCTTCAGGATTTATAGTACTAAGGTTATAGAACATTTTGCAGAAATCAAGTTTGGGTGAAATAATAGATGACTTGTGGTTAGTGTTATTTATTGTATTACTGTGCTTTGCCTTATAAAACAGTCCAAGAAAATCCTATTAACTGTCAAAGCAACGCAATTAAAAAAATTCCAGCCTAAATATAGGTGGGGGCTGACCAGTTGAAATGCTGCTGGCCGACATTTTAAGGCCTGATCCATGAAACTGTTATGAACTGGGGCTGACTACTTACATTGGTTCTTTTTCACAGCCATTTCAGAAGTGTCTCCTCAACTCAGTAATTTTACATGTGAGTAAGAGTCAAATTTTATCTCTACCCTGGGTCTGAATTTGCTGATCAGGCATTGAACCAAGAGGTTTTATATACAGGTTGCTGAATTTGATCAACAGCTGGTCTTTAAGGGAAGAGATCAAAACATGCACAACACAGTAATCAGGTCCAGATGTTTGTCTAAAACACAAGCCCCAGCTCTAGCAGGAATTAATTAAGCAAAGTCTTACAAGCTGTGTTATAAGGAAACCAGATGAAAAAATCACAACAGCCCCTCTGGGTTTTTTTAATCAAAAAAATTACAACAAACAATTTAAAAGAACTGACCACATTTTGGCTACAAACAGTCCAGTGAGCTAAAACTTGCTTTTGGGTGCCCCAGTTAATGATTTACTGTTGTAACCAGCCGGCAGTAAGCTCAGTGTTTAGGCAGTGTTTGGAAAAAAAATGCCAAACCTCTACACTGCGTTCACCATACAGCAGCTCTGAACCAAATTGTCACTGGTTAAAGGGACCTGGTTCTTGAAGGCATCCCCCAGAGTGGAGCCAATTTTTTTCTAGAATAGCTGTCCTCATGTATGTTGTATCCTTAGGGTGTTCACTCTGACACTGTGCTTCTTTCAACAAGTCAAGTACATGAATTTGATAATACATAAAAGCCTAGATGGGCAAAATGTTGTGCAGAAGTTCCTGCCAGGGAAAAAGAACTGGCTGGGAGCCTTATCCTTCCCTCTCAGATGTCCTTTCAGGCTGATAGCCTGGGAAGTCCCACACATGGGAAATATGGTCAGTGAAGGTGGCCACAGTCATCTGATGTAAATGTATCACAGCAGGCATAGCCCATAAATGGGACCTTGTGTAGTCCAGACATGGGATATAGCTCAGATTCATGAATTGTATTGAATACATTTGTCTTTTAATTTTGCAGTTTGGGAAGAATGAAAGATTACTTAGAGCACACACACTGAACACAAGACTGAAGTGTGTTATGGTTTTACTTTATATGCTGTGATTTTAAGGAGAATGTTATTCCTATACATGAGTAAACACGTATATTATGTTCATCTACATTTAAGCTATTTACCGTGTATATTTTTGCCTATATGTCTCATGAATACAGGCAACCTGTGCCTTCTCTTAGACAAAGACTGATCATGTTTCTAATTTTTTGATTGCAAGTTTGATTGCATGAGGTATAAGTAAGGAGGAAACATGAAACCACAGCCAAAGAAGAGCAGAACCTTGACTTCAGCCTAACTCT